GAAACACGCACGCCAACTGTCATTGGCTTGTTTAGTTAACACTCGAAGGTGATTGGGCTCTCGGGCGAGATCCCAATTCGTCAGTCACGACTGACGTAACGTCTCCGTTCCCTCCTTCAGGGAACGAGGGTTACACAAGTAACCTAGACGTTACTTTTATTTCGCCACTTCCTCAGTTGTAGTGAAAATGGCCCCAGAGGACTTTAAGATTAATATTACTGTACGTTTCAGTGCGGTCTTGTTGCTAAGCCATATTTTATATCCATCTTGCGACTGAAGTGAAAATAGCCTCAGAGGACTCTTAATATTAATATTACTTTAATGTTGTAGTGTTCGTCGTTGCTAAGCCTTATGTTTTGCACAATGTATGGAAATATTTTTAAGCAGAAGCTTTAAGAGAAAATACAGGTAAGATTATAAAAACTTTTAACACAAATCAATGTTTCATGTCAGTGTAGGCCTATTCATTTATTAGTCAAGAGGCAATGTAATAAAATGGATAATCTACAATCTGACAGTCATTATGGCAATAAAAAAACTTTTTTGCCATATTGACCCACTCACCGTACATTATCCGACGCTTATGCAACATTGATTAAGTGTCTTTTATTAACACTCTTTTATGAAGTTAGACTCAGAAGCATTGTTATATGTTTAGTATGGATTATTCCTGGTGTGCTCCATGATGGCCATCAGGGCCAGCCAGGTCTCCTCAGCAGTGGGGATGATCTGATCGGCAGGCAGGAGGAAACCATAGCGGCCAGTGTCTCTCAGCTCAAAGGTGTAGGAGTACTTGATGCCCTGTTCATAGGTCCAGTCAATAGTGATTCCATCAGCTTGGTCTGAGAGCAGAGAGATAGTAATGAGATTATAAATATTAGTCATTCTGACACACACTGTAATATTGACAAAATTAGAGCCTTAGGTTAATTGTAAATGTACTTACAGATGGTAGTAATGACACTGCCATATGTGTAGGCAGTGTTATGTAAAGACTGGAGTTCAGAGACGGCCTTTCTGGCGAGTTCATGCTGAAGAGACAATAAAGAATTATTATATTTGAACAGATCTATCATGTTAACAGTATCCAGATCAACATGTTTCCACATGCGTACCAGTTCAGCCTGGTCCTTTGCAGGAGTGCTTGTGTATCCGTATGGATAGAGGAGCATCTGGGAATAGCTGTGGATGGACAAAAAGGCCTTGAGTTTGCCGTGAGATTTCACAAAGTCCACAATGGCCTTGACCTCAGGCTCAGAATGAATGCTGGGACCATGGTAGGTCTGAGAGCACGGGTTGCTGCTGGCACCAGACCCTGTAGATGAAAAAAGATTACATATCATTGGGATGTACAGTATAAATACACCAGAACCCCAATATCCCAAACAAAGCTACATCTCACCTCCAAAGCCAACTTCCCAGTTCCTGTTGGGGTCAACGCCAACACAGCTGGAGCCAGGGTTTGGCTTTCTGGTTTTACGCCACATGCGGTCCTTAACCAACCAACCAAACAATTGGATTACACAAGAAAGAGGGCAAATTTTATTACAATTGAGATTAGCTTTCAATGTGAAGTCTTCCAGGCATCAGACTCACATTGCTGTGGGTGTATGCGAAACCATCAGGATTGGCGATGATCTCCAAGAAGATATCATAGTTGTTAAGGATGTCGGTGAGGACGGGGTCACGTCCATAATCGGTCACGATCTATGCAATAGAAAACACAAGTGGGAAAGTTGTTGACCAGTAGTTTTGTGGTAGTGGACTGAGTAGATTGTGTTTCATAATTTCAGCTGACCTTTTTGGCAGACCAGATTGCGCTGGCCGGTGTAATCCATTCTCGGGAGTGGATGCCAGTGTCGATCCAGATACCTGGACGGTTCGCTCCAGTGCTGAACTGAATGACAGGATATTAGTCATATTGAACCAATGGAAATATTCATTTATTCTGACCTTTAAATTGCATACACTCTTAAATGTATAGGTTCTTTACTAGCACTGATGGTTCCATGAAGAACTTTGAACATTCATGGAGCCTTTCCATTCCACAAAAAAAGTTCTTTATAGTGGGAAAAGGTTCTTTAGATTATTGATTAATTCTTCACACTAAGAAAAAACTGGTTCTTTATTTATTTCTTTATCAGAAACATTTTTTGAAGGAACCCAAAGCCCCACATTTTTTCCATTGTATCGCTACCCCTAACTTTTATTTTTAATAAGTGTAGTGTAGGCTGCATGCGCATGTTCACGAGAGAGTGGCATTCCAGCGGATGACTTAGGATGTGGGCGTAGCCTAAGCTAGTCTCGCGAGAACCAAGTTTTGTTTAAAGCAAAGGAAAATCAGTCTCCTCTTGGCTTATATCAAAAATCCTCTTGCCTTTATATTCTTTACAAATCCTCGTTTTGTACATCTAATTTGTGTCTTGTGTTTTGTTTTGCTCTCTCCTCTGCGCTTTCGCATTCGTCACCTCATTCGCTTACATCCTTAGCTGGAACGCTACTCTCTCATGAACTTGCATACGGCAGTTAGCGGAAGCTAGAGATTACGGTTTATAAAGTTTTAAATATGGATATTTGTCTTACACAAATGCATCGATTCGCTTCAGAAGGTCTTTATAAACCCCCCGGAGCTGTGTGAAGCACTTTTTATGATGGATGGATGCACTTTATTGGACTTCAAAATCTCAACAGCCATTCACTGTCATTATAAAGCTTGGAAAAGCCAGGACATTTAGGATGGCTTGAGGGTGAATAAATCATGGGGTTCACTATCTTTTTAATTGATTAGAATCATGGCATAATCGCAATATTTATCGCAATAGTAGCTTGTACGCAATGAAATTTGCTAATGAAACACGCATGATTCATACTTCATGGACTCACCAAAGATTTGGTATTTTTTTATATACAATTATCAGCATATGATTTTGGACACACTAATATGGCATATTATGTATTATATAGATAGTATGCAAATTGGG